GTTATTAATTAAAGTTATATAACTATTAAAATATATATTATATTTTTCAAATATTATTCTAAAGTAAAAAGTTACACTGTTTTAACCTTGCAAGTATTGTTTTTACAACATGTAAGTTTGTTGAAATATTGAAGATTATACTAACTTTATGACAATATTATAATGTAAGCTCATCTTGTAAGATTAATAGCAGATTGCAGTAACATGTTCATTAAAATGTGTAAGTTTGTAACCTACTCATAAACTTACTGCAATGTTCGGTGCTGTGAGGGATCTATTTTATGTCGATGTTGCAATAAAAATAAATAGTTTTCACTTTCTTTAATGTGTAGTTTAATTACAATCATCTTTTGTATTGTTAGGAATAGCCCAAATAAAACATAATAGTCAAAATAATATTAATTTGATATTATTTTGACCGATACATAAATTTGTTCAATATTTGGTCAAAATGACGTCAAATTGATATCATTTTGATTCTTGTGTTTTACTTGGAAGGCTATAATGTAATAGAGGTCGTGAAATAAAAAAAAATTTAAACGTAAAAATCTATTGCACAACCATAGTAAATGTACAATGGACGTCTATGATGGATGTTATATGGATATCCATCATCAATGAATTATGGACGTCCATTAGAGATCCACTTGTCGTCCACTGTGGAGATAGATGTCTGTTGGAGCTATGGATGATTTATGGACGTCTAATAGAGGTTTTGTTCTGTATGGATGTATGGGTAATGTTCCGTACAAGGTTTCTGTAATGTTAATGGAATGAATATGGACGAACATTTTCATGTTATTGGAAGGTTAATAGCAGGTTTATTAAGGTTGCTGTAATCTTATGGCAATATTAATGTGCTGTGAAGGAATCTTTTAATTTAAAACTAAAACCGTATATAAATCCATATAACTTTTATTAGTCATCTATTTAAGTTCCATGAAAAATCTAAAATTAATCTATATTACGTCTAATGCATATCTATGAAAACGTCTAATAGACGTAGAATGGAGGTTTGAAATGCGGAACTGTGGATGTGTATTGGCAGTTTCATGGATCTCTAATAGAGGTTACGAATCTCCATCATGGATCTCTCTTAGAGGTTTTCGTTCTATGTGGGTTTATAGAGAACGATAGAATAAAATTCTATCGTTCTATCGTTTTCTATCGTTTTGAATATGGATTTTGGTTCGTGAATTCACAAATGTGAATAGTATTCTATCGTATACAATAGAATACTATTCACATTTTGTAAATTCACGAACCAAAATCCATATTCAAACGATAGAAAATGATATTTTTATTCTATCGTTCTCTATAAACTTTTTTATCAGGGTTGTACGCGCGTAGCATTGTTTTAGTTCTTGCAAGTTATATCACGATGATGTTAATTATATTATGTTAATTATGTTAATTACTCGGTGCATTTCAGACCCGATTAATCCCATATAGCACAGACGCTTGCAGCAACATTACTGCAATGTTTCAATATTGTATATTGCAATGTAATGTTGCAGAAACATTGCAAAGACATAAATTCGCAAGATACCAGCAAACAAGGTACGCGAAAAATATTTTTTTGAATGTGTTGCCATAATGTGCATTAAATGCGAATTTAATATGGGACAAATATGCGCTTTTAATGTTAATTAAAGTGCATTGTACGCGCATTGGCACTCCTTGGATTATGTATATTTCGACAGGTTCGTGTGCACACGGAAAAAACAATTCTGTTGGTGCAACCGAATTTTCGATTGCTCAGGGATCAGCAGGATTGGGCACGTATTATACTTAACGTATTATACATTGGTTATATACACGTATGAAACTAGGTATAATACGTCAAGTACGTGCCATAAATTAACTGAATTACCTATCAATATCATTGCAGAAGCATTGTCTGATACGACGGCATAAACACGAATGTTGAATTTGCTCTTAGCAATTTCCGTTGCTTTATGTACAATTTTTGTTAGTGCATCTCCTGTTTCTCTTATGCCAGTTAAGTCCCATGAATTCAGATACATACTCTTGTCCATTATTGTGTGTATTGTACAGACAACTAGTTTGCTATTAGTAGCAGAATTCTTCCAACCATCGATTAACAGTACACCTAGTGTTTCATGTTCTTTCACAGCTGCAGATGTTATTTCACTATGAACTTTATCTAGCAATTGATTTGAAAGCTTTTTTCTTGATGGAATTTGGTAATCTGGATTTAGGAGTTTTATAAACTCCTTAAACAAATTGGACTCAACAACATTAAAAAGATATGTTGCAGCCAAAGAAAAATTTTGCCAAAGCTAAATTAATTAATTCATCTGAATTAAGATGAGAACGTTTCAACTCGTATTTGGCTTGTTTCATTTTATCCGCGCTCATTATAAAATTTAAAAGAATAGAAAGAAATTGTCAATATCTAACAATTTATTTGGATTTATGGGCTGTAATAGTTACTTACTTATATTATTTTTTCGTATATTATTCGTATATTTCATTCATATATTATTCGTATATTATTTTTGAAACACTTTATTTATATAACATAACTTATTCGATTATTTATTAGGTTAGAATTTCGCTTTTAACGACATAAGACGGAATAAGGCCAGATCTACAATAGGTGTAGTAAGCTTTAAGCCATAAGAAATTGATCATAGTCAATTTGACTGAGTCAAATATGAAAAGAATACTCGACTATGATTGGTCAATTTCTTACGGCTTAAAGCTTACTACATTTATTGTAAATCGGAACTTAGAATTTTGATATATATCATATATTTCATACGTTTCATACGTAAAAAACGTAAGAAATCATTTGCGGCGCCAAATTGCCCAACTCTGGGAACAGGCGAAAACTCGGTTGTAGGAATAGAAAAATTCCTTTATAAGGCTTCTGTATAGTCAATTGTTCTCAGTTGCCTCAACCGAGTTCTAATATCGTTGAATGTTCAGACGAACATTTTCAGTTGCAACAACAGAAATATTAGTTTTCATAACAGAGATATCGCTTCTGATCACCTAATTTTCAATTGGTTCCTATTTTGTTGTACCAACTGAAATTTTTTTTGCGTATACTTAACAATTAATTAGATTATTAAAACACGCGAAAGATTAAAGTTTGTTCTAGTAAAAGACAGAAAGACACGAACTCGTTTGTATGAAGTTTATTTTAAAAGTTTCGACAACATTATTATAATACACATACGCGCGGCAATGCACAGCACACACATTCACACGTTCATACACGACTTATTCACTTTAAATATCGGCCTTATCACATACGTAATACAAAAAATAATAATAATAATCATAATGGAGCGAGAATAAGCGTAATCATCGCGGTCACCGCCATTCATCGGACGGCGGCGATACAAAAAACACATTACGAACATCGTGACCCGAGATTTGGATTTTTTACAAAACTCGAATAGCCGAGGGGAAACAACGTGGACGATGAGGGGGAGAGAAAGAGCAATGGAGAGATATATCGCTATGTGTGTTCTATATGTAAGATACGCGAAGAAGTGTACGAGGAATGTGCGATAACAGCAAAGATAACGTCAGAGACTTCACGAACTCGTCGGAGCGATTACACGATCGCGTCGGTTGACCGGAGGAGTTCGCGCCGTTTCAGTAGGACTATCCTTAATATGAACAGCGTGCGAGTGTTTCTTTTCTCAGTGAGACTACTTATGAAACATTTAATGAAAAAGGAAAACGCTAACAGCTAGCCTGCGTCGTCCTTCGGGAACGCGCGACAAGTTCGAACGCTCCGCGTGGCTTACATCTCCGTGAGAGTTCCCTGAACTCCGATTAAAGACTCGAAAATTTACAATCTCTCTTTCGATGAAATTGCGTATAAATGTCTGACTTCCTCTATCACGACAGAAAAATACGAATTTAAGACGATTACGTGGGAACAAAATGGCTCGATCACTGGCGTGGACAATCCGCCGATTTGTCGGATTCGGTCGCGGGAGTGGATGAAGGCGATCACACGTTGGAGTTCGCCTCCCGCCACGTGACTTGATTGCCGAGATTCTGTAGCCTCAGACTGTTGCCGGGGCTATCCTCGCCCTCGTAGCCGGCATTCACATGTCCCGCGTGTCCCTCGAACACGTCCTTCACGGAGATCTGACTGCTCCTGGACGGCCGGCCTTGGATCCCGAGCGGGTTGCCGGCCACACCGTAGATATTGTTCGCTCCCAGGGTCTGCATCTGCGACTTCCTGCGCATCGCCATTATGCTGTTACGCCTGCCCTCGAAGGCCTTGAACGCCTCCGTCGTGCGTCTGGTCGACATGTTCCTCGGCAGACCTGGGGAGAAATCGAGTTCTTCGTTTAATATCAATTCCCTGTTTGATATCCCAGATAGCACAGAGAATTCAAAAAGAATTCAGTCACCAATTCTGAGTTCATTTTCAGATGCAAAAAGAATTCTTGTCACTGAACTGAACTCTAAAGAATTCTTTTTACCCTTGAAAAAATGAACTTAAAATTGGTGATATACGACTGAATTCTTTTTGAATTCTCTGTGCTATCGGAGATCTTTTATCCTACTTCACTTAAATTTCTCCCGTCTTTCATATTTCATAATTTAATTATGATATTTTACTGGTTAATATTTCATAAATTTTATAAATGATGTAATTATATTTTTCATGCGCGCTGAGTTTCCACTCACCCGCGCCTTCGGACATGCTGAAGAAGCGCTGTCTGAACGCCACATCGAGCGTGTTAATCGCCTGCGTATTCCTGCGGCTCTTCTCCAAGTTCCTGATCGTTTTTCGTCTGCCGGGTCCGCTACCACTGCCCTCATCATAGTCGCCTTCTATGCCTTCCAGTCTCTGCAGGTCTCTCACTATATCCACCGCGTGTTTTGACAGCAAAGCTTCCTCCGAGAGATCCTTGGTCTGTAAAAGATCACATATGTGTGTGCATATAAGTATACGAGGATGATACATTAAAAAGATATGTCGAATCAAACAAGTTGATGATGAAAGTGTACCTTCTTGCAGCAGTCTAAGCTCGTGCTGGCCAGGATATGGGCCAGAGTGCCGAAACGGTGGAACAACATCGCGGTGAATTGTATGACCAATATCAGCGCGAAGAAGAAAACGAACACGAGACCGATCGGCTCGAGTTGCAGATACTCCTTCGTGATGTGCACCTGCAAGACATTCGCGTATACAGTGCCGTTTCGCGACGATGTGCGGCGAATTACATCACGGAAGGAATGCTCGGTGGCGATCGAGATTTCATCGGCGATCTTTCCCGTCGAAGATCTTCCATCGATCCGCTTCATTTTCGACTACATTTGCGAATTTTGCCCGTGGCTATTTTATTCTGTGTCAGAAGAATCGTCTTCGACGATTCAGAATTGTGAATTTGATCTTCGGAGATCTCGTTTGCGCCGAATTATCTTCGCCATCGGGAAACATTCCCTCGCGAGCGTACGGATTAAACACATTAACGAATAGTTAGCAGTTAAAATTCCACAATCGTCGGGTGCCGTTCGTGCGTGTTAAGAGTCACACACCTATGTACATACATATACACACACTTATGATTGTAGGAGTAGGTCTGCCGGACGCTGAACCCTCGGATGAGAGGACACTGAAAGCATCCACCGCCTTATGTGTACGTTAGTGGTGCTCGTTCGCTGCCACTTTTGGCGTATGGTGCACATGTCAGTGTTAGACACAACGACAGAGAGAGAGAGAGAAAGAGTGAGGAAGAAAGAAGAAAGAGGAGAAATATAAATTTGTTCGTCTCAAGATCGTTAGATCTCTGAAACCAAGGATCAGCTACTCGAGACTCTTGGACGAGGACGAATTTCTAATTTTGCTTGCAGTCGTACGCTTTCGACAATAACTATAATTTAATAATTATTTTTACAATTATAAAATAATATATTTTGTAAGTTTACATAAACGTAGGAGTTTGTCATGTTTCTGGAAAACTCAAGTGATCGGCTTTGATTCCCGAAAAACATCCGTCCTCGCCTTCACTCTAGATTCACGTTTTAATTCTCCTATGTAACTTAATTAACGCGATTCAGTTTAATCTCACGAATTAGACTCAAACGAATTAATTCACTTGGGTGAAATGGGGATACGGGATGGGCAAACGTAAGTGTGTGTCTGTTTATGTGTGTATGTGTGTAAGTGCGTTATTACGACACTCAGGCGACTAATCTCTGGTTATTCCTCTAGTCAGCTAGAAATCATCTCCCACGCGTTCCATTCGACCCAGGTGTACCTGTGTGAGAATATTAATTCGGAGAATATTAATTCACCTTCCACGTGCTGTCGAACGAGCGAGTTGTTAATGACAAAAAAAGACATATATACACATATATCTTTCGTGAGTCGAGCGGGTGCAACGTCATCACCGGATTGTGATCTACATCTCCCGGATACGTCGGGATACTCGTACAAATCAAATCGAAGCCCTAAAGGCTTAATTAAACCGCTAAAAATGAGAAGTCGACTAAACTCAGATGAACATTCGATATCATCACTTTTAATAATCTGTTCTTACTTTTGCAAGTAGATTAAATTTTTTGAGAGAAAAATATCTAAAAAATATCAAATCTTTATTTGGTAAGAACTAATAATATATTTGCTCAAAAATTAAAATTCTTTTATTTAAATAAAATAAATAATTGTTTTCGTAAAAGGATAAGATTTCTTTAATCCTTTCAGGACGGGAGGTTGCTCGGAGAGATAATTATAGAGAAGTACGTATTCTATGAGTTTTTGGGGTCGTTGAATCCGAATTTGAACTTAGATTTTTAAAATTTTGTGATCCAAGATGGCGGACCCAATATGGCGGAAAAATGATAAATAATATAAATATCACTCAATTTCCGTGAAATTTGAACTATGAGACTTTTTAAAGATATTTTTTTAAACCGAAACTGAATATTTGAAATTCAAAATGCTGACCAAGGAAAAAAATTTTTAGATTTGACTCGACTTAATCACATTTGCCGCTAACTAAAGTTTGTGTGGCACTGATGAGTTCCAAAAGTAGCGAAACTGGAAATCAATCAAGATTTTTACTAATTCAGAGAGATTCAGAGATTTTTACTAATTTAGAGAGTATGAAGTTCCACGGAAATTGAGTCATATTTACATAATTTGGCATTTTGAAAATCGCCATATTTGATCCGCCATTTGAATTTTTACTTCAAATTTGGAAAGAGCATCCCAAAAAACCCCCACATACCAATTTTTGTGAATATTAGATCGATAGTTTCTGAAATATATGCATGAAGACGTAGAACATAAAAAATGTCTCCCGTCCTGAAAGGGTTAAGATTTTAAGAAAATATTTCTTTCCTCATTTGAAATATCAGTCTTATATTAGTATAAGTAAATATGTTATTATAATACTCATAATAAATGTGACTACTATTTCTTAGATATTTTTTCTCCCAATGTAGACCATTTTTCTCGAATAGTTTCCACCGATAAGACAAGATTAAATCGTGAAATTGAAGGGCGAAACTTCGCTAGTCAAAGTGTCACGAGTATCCACATCCGAATCGAAGGAGGTGTAACGTATAGACATAATATACATAGACTCCGTATATAATCAGAAAAGTGAAGGCAACATGTACATCAGCCCCTCTGTTCTCTGTCTCTTTCTGCACAGACAAAGTGTGCAATAAGATTTAAGTAAGACTTTTGCTCGCCAATCCAATCGGGGTGCTGTTGCGCTTTATAATATTATGGAAACGAAAAATGGATGCACGCGCAACAAAAATGTGACAAAATAGGGAGAAAATTATAGCTCCTCTATTCTCGCTCTCTTTCTTAGATGTTGGCTTCACTCAGTTAGACGACAGAACAAAGGGCGTTCAGAATCCATGTATACTATATCCATAGTGTAACGAGACACAATATACACAGGACACCATGGACACCGCTTGTTTCCCCCTTGATGCTTGATCGGATACCTCCGAGGTCTCCTCGACGTAGGTGATGTTCGTCTTGACGCCGAGCGGCCAGATGACGTGCAACTGGTCCTTGTTCAGCTGTAGCAAGAATACGATCAGAACGAACAAGGCATTGAACATTAAAAAGGCGAACACGCTCTTGTTCCGCAGCTCGATCAGATCGCCGGCGATGCGGGCCTGTGTTGTGCGCGGGGAGTAAATGCGAGAAAAAACAAAACAAAAGACGACACAGATTAGAATAGTAAGGAAGGAAAAGCTCCGTCGGTCTGCCCGTCGATCCGTCGATCTCTCGTTTTTATCTCGCCGTAGCTTTCGTCCATCTTTAGGACGACAAGTCAATGGAAACAGACGCGATTACTTTCGACAGCATCCAACAGCAATCAGCCGGTGCTGATTTGCGCACATGGTTAATCGATCGAGCGAAACACAGAAGATAAATCCCCGATCGAGGATCATCGTGGGCGCCAACGGAGCTGGCTTTACCTCCGAGGTGCTTTCGTCATACGTGATGTTCGTCTTGATGCCGAACGGCCACTTGATGTGCAACAAGTCTTTGTTCAATTGCAGCAGAAAGACGATCAGGACGAAGAGGGCGTTCATCATAAAGAATGCAAAGACGCTCTGGTCGCGGAGGTCCTTTAGATCTTTGGCGATTCGTGCCTGACGTGAGCAGCATGGCGTGATTAATTGATTATTATGCGTGCGTGACTGGTTGACGAGTGTGCTTGCCGTGAGAGCCGAGGTGTCTCTCCTCTCGCGAAACGATTTCTTCGACTTTTCATTTAAGTGTCCTGAATCGTCGGCAACTTTTCCTATTTTTCTCAGCCGAATAATATCTTTGAACATTCGTCATTTTTCGTCGACAATTTTCGTAATCTTGAACGATTCTCTGCACGATCGCCGGGAAGCCGAGGATCTATAGATCCTCAGAACTCCCAATCGATCGCACATTTGTCTCGTTTGCTTTACAGAAGAATTAACTAATTAATTAATTAATTAATTAATTGATCAATCCTTCACCCCTTGATCGACGACAGCTTGCAATGACAAAGACGTATCGCGGGCTCTACCGCGAGCGTTTCGATCTCGAGGTTTCATTCTATCGCATCCAAACCAATCAGCACCAATTACACTAATTGTACCTCTATTAATCTCAGATATCGTGAGAATTGAAATTTTTCTCTGGTAAGTTAGCGCAAGAAATAATATACGTGGATTAAAAGAAAATTAACTGAAAGTACCAAGCTTGCGACAATTTCGAAAATTTTGTGGAATGTAAATTTTCATCAAAAATCAAAATGAGAGATAAAAGAGAAATGATGAATCAAAATGATAAAAAGGAACATTAGAGGCGAGGTTCGATCGTTTTACCTTCTCGGTTTTGTCCTCGTCGATCGGATAGAGATACTTGTCCAGTAAATCCTTCCAGAACTGTTCTTCCTGCATCGACAGCACGTCCACTTCGCCCTTCTTCAAGCCTTCGTCGTTCAGCCAGTACGGCCTCGTGAGGAAATTGCCGCCGTCACGATTGCCCTCGGTATTTTGGCTGGCCACCGTTTCGGTATCGCTGTTGCTGTCGTCGTCCTCGGCGGGATCCTCGCCGATCGCGTCCAAATGATCGGCGGTCCGCGAACCCACGGAGGAGGCTCGCCTGCGGCCGGAGTGTCCATGAGGATCCACTGCCCTGCAAGTCGCGTCGAATCACGATTATTTCGACGAATTAAATCGGATCTTCCAGTTGAGCACGCGCGATTTATTGAGTCTGTCTACTTCAAATAACATAGTTCAACAAAAAGATCTGCGGCGACAAAAGCGAATATTTCTTAGTAAACTCGAAGTCGCCGGAGCCAAATCTGTCAGTAAAAAATGCCCATCACGTCAGGTTTTTGAGATAAATCGAATAATATGGGTAAAAATCTACGTTTTTTGCCCCCCAATTAATCGAATCAAGTGAAATTCAATTCGATTCAAATTCGAATCCTTGTGATTCGAAAATTTCGAATTGAAAAGATTCGAATACGGATCGCGCACATTAGCATTAATGAAGAACTACACTGTAAAAACTGATGTGTTAAATTTAACATTTCGTGTGTCCCAAATCATCCACTCTCATTTATATGTAAGTTTAACACAAGACAAATGTGATAAAAAGTAATACGTATAATATGGAAAAAATTAACACAAGAATTTAACACTTGAATACCGTCAGGAATCACAGTTTGTGTTAAGTTGATATATATATAATGTTAAATTAACTAAAATAAAACGTTACTTTAACATTTGAGAGAAGTATTAATCTGCGGTTTCGATGAAATGAAAATGTTAAATTGACATAATCTATGTCTAACATATTAAATATGTCAATTTAATATAACCTGGATTCCTAACGATATTCAAGTGTTAAATTCTTGTGTTAATTTTTTTCATATTATCAGAGTGGATGATTTGGGACACATGAAATGTGTTAAATTTAACACATCAGTTTTTACAGTGTATTAAAGACATCCAGCCTTACGGGAATTAGCATGACTTGAAAAGTTTGCTATACATTAAGATTTTCTTCAAAAATGTTAAAAGAAGATGGCTTCTAGATAAACTTTTACCGACAACTGTCGGATCGATATGTGTCTTTGCGCATCTTTCAAGGCTGAATCTGTATTTCATACACGTTTATCGACTATACATATATTATATATCTCTTATCTTAAAATGAATTGATATCATATGATCAATGTTATTTCTCTCAAAGACACTATTTTCATGTTGAATTCAATGATTATGTTAATTAAAAATTCTTTCAACGATTCAACTCGATTCGATTCAGGTGAAATTTCATCAATTCGATTCGAATTCGAAATTAAAATCTGAGATTCGATTCGGTGAAAAGTCTTTGATTCGCATATCTCTAGTGTCTCTCATTTCTTCCTCACCTCTCGATCGTTTCCAGCCGCTTTCCGAGATGCTCCAGGGATTCTGCGATCGCCACCAGCTGCTGCTTCTCGGCGGACGGCTTGCCATGGGTGCACAGCAAACACTTGAACAGACCCGCCAGCGATATCTCGATGGAGCCTTGGTCATCGTCGTTGGTGCCCGCGCCGTTCTGCAGGAAGCCCAGAAGCGACTTCTGCTTGGCCTTCCGCTTCGCCTCCTCGGCCTCCCGTTTCTCCTGCTCGAGTTCCTGTTGCATGGATAGCGATGACAGATACACGACGACATCACGCGATCCGCGCGTCGTTATTCCAGGTCTCTCGTTAATCAGTACAGGCGAAACGAAAAGTGGGTTATACAACACCGTGTAAAATATCAACAACCGTTAGTAGAGTTATTAAGAATTAATTAGCAATATCGAGACTTATTCACATTAAAATTACGTTTCTGAGAACGTTATTCTTCGCATTAAATTTAAAAAATAAAGAAATTTAAGAAATTTCTTGATAATATGTTTTCAAATATTGAAAACATATCATCAAAGTTCCTCTCTCGTGTTTTAATCACGGGGTTTGATAGGCCAATTAGAGTTTTAACAGGTAACGAGAGTATCAATAATACTAATTGAGGTAACGAGAGTATCAGTAATACTAATTGAGTATTCACGAAGCTATATACAGGGTGATCCACTTAAATCGAACATCTTGAATACTTAACTTATTTTTGATAATACGGAAAAATGTTTTAAATTAAAGTGGAAGTGTCGAGGGGGATACATCTTGGTCACGTTGCTTTTTTTCTAGGTGGAAGCGCTAAAAAGATATAAAAGTCATCTTTACTTTTTTAAATAGAATTATGATTTTTTTATAAATATGATTCCTCTATTTATTTTATGTATATAAAATACGAAGAAGTATAATTGTCAAAACTTCAATAGTTTACGGAATATTTTATACTTTATTCTGACAAAAAATTTTGATTTCAATACATTTTCCGACTTCAATATATTTAAATCCCATCGACTTTTTTGTTTGGGAAACATTGAAAAACATTGTTTTCAATGATGTATCAACTATACAAGAGAACATTAAAGAACTTATTTTGGAAGCATGTGCGAATATAAATTCAGAAATGATAAAATTCAGAAAATGTAAGAATATCATTTATGTATCGTATCCGAAAATGTATTGAAGTTAGAATTTTTTGTCAGAATAAAGTATAAAATATCTCGTAAACTATTGAAGTTTCGACAATTATACTTCTTCGTATTTTTATATATAAAATAAATAGAGAAATCATATTTATAAAAAAATCATAATTCCATTTAAAAAAGTAAAGGTGACTTTCATATCTTTTTAGCGCCTTCACCTAGAAAAAAAGCAACGTGACCAAAATGTATCTTCCTCGATACCCTTTATCTGAAATATTTTTCCGTATCATCAAAAATAAATGAAATATTCAAGATGTTCGATTTAAGTGGACCCACGGAGAGAGTTTTATCATAAAAATTATTGTAGATACTTTTTTTTGTAACTGAGGAATAGATAGATAATTATGCAATAATTAACTATCCTTTCATTTCATATATGCTATTCATAATTTAAGAAATATGCTATTAAAAAAGATATTGTGGTAAGTTGTATTAGTGAATTAGTTGGTTAGAGCACAGGTTTATGGATTAGTGGTAATTACCGCGCGGCTCTTCTTCGTCTTAACTTCCCTCGTGCCCCACGAGATGTTGTCCAGATTGAAGAGCGAGTATATGATTAGTAGCATGTACATCGAGGGAATCGCCAGGTAATAGATCAGACTGTGCATCAGGCAAGAGATCTCGTACGGGTGCAAAATAGCCGTGAATACGAACTGAGCCACCACGAGAAACAGGAACCAAGCGCTTGGCGACATCACGGTCTCCATCACGATGTTAATCGCGATCGCGACGATCACCGCGGTCATTATTATTCCGTAGAGGGTGCTGATTATTGCGGCTACTGTCACCTATCATGGTGTTAAGTCAATCGCTTTTTCTTCTCTCCTCTCTTACTGCAAAGCGACATTGCTGAAGCGACGTGTTCACACGATGACGAAGCGAATGGACGTGAGGTCTATGCGATTCTCGATGGAATGAGTGCTCGCCAGCTCGCGGTTAGGTTCTCTTCAGGTTCATGCATCGCCGTTGAAGTCGTTTCAACGTTCGGTACGTTTGTTAGATCGCCTAATGTTATCACACTGAAGTTGTGCTTTCTGGTTAAATAATTTGGCTGGCTTAACAATCGGGATCTCGCAAAGCATTAAGAACGGCAAGTCACCTCTCCCAAGCCCCGCGTCACCGTATACCCTGTTACACCGGTGGATCCTCAAGATGCTACGTGTAGCCCGAGTGAGGAGCGATCCGAGTGCCGACTCGCGTCGTCGATCAAAGAAAAGAAATCGACGCTGAACACGAACCTTCTTCGTCTTTTTCACTTGGACCTCCCGGGTGCCCCAGGATACAACGTTAAGATTGATGATGGAGTAGAGTATGAGGAGCAGGTACATAGACGGGATGGACAGCAGGTATATAATGCCGGGCACGATACACCAGAACTCCTGCGGGTGCAGGCAGGCTGCTATGAAAAACGAGCTCGACAGGGATATGAGGAAGATCGCCGAAGGCGAGCCTATGCCGTCTTCGCCGAGCTGCAAGGCCGTACCTACGATCACCGCCATCATGATCATCGCGTACGCCGTCGACAGGATTTGGGCGCACAAAAGCTGAAAACCACTCACTGTTACTTCCTCTCGCAGGCAACTACGCGCTTCGCCCTAGCCGAATTTTCGAAAAATCGCACGTAGAATCTTCGTAGAGATCGCGACCTTGATTGTTGAGGAAATTTGTGTTCTGTGAGATTAATATCGCGCTGATTTCGACGCAATATCGTATCCAAACAGCACATAATATTTACAAATGTAATTTAGAAATATAGATATTAAATAATTTATAAATATATTCTAATGTCCGAGATTTTCAGGTATGAAAAAGATTATGATAAATATTTAAAAATATATTTACGAAAAATATTTATCATAAATCTTTCATAAATTATAACCTTTTTCGTAAAAGTAATTATGAAAAATATTTTTCATAAATATATTTTTAAATATTTATTATAATCTTTTTCATACCTGAAAATCTCGAACATTAGAATATTTATAAAATATTTAATATATCTATATTTTTAAAATATGTTGTAAATATTGTGTGCTGTCTGGATACAGCAGTAGGATGTCGTACTGATTATGTACTGATTATGTAAGTGCAACACCCTGTATGTAATAATTAAAGAAACTGCTTCTCACATGAGGACAAATCACGAATGAAGGACGGATACAACGCGCAACGGAAAGCGAACACTAACACATATGGGCGCACAAGTAATTCGGAAGAAGACATACCTGTATGTTGGCTTTACATGTGAAACAAACGATCATGAAAAGTAAGATGGGTATAATGTTGTAGTAGAAGCTGGTCCAGTTGTCGATTTTGAAGGCTGCCACGAAAGCACCCACCAACATAAGGAAGATCGTGCCGGGCCCTAAGATGGTGCCACCTATTTCATAGCGCAACACGAAGGAACATTTTAATTATTAACTGATTAATTATTATTTTAAAATTTTAATTAAAAACCTTGCATCTTACAGAAAAGTAGCATTCTACTGTTAAAAAAGCGATTTCTCTTCATTTTTCTTTCTTTAAATAATAGTTATTTTTACAGAATATTTTATATTAAAGAATATTTTCTTGATAATAATCTAATATAATAGTTTTATATAAAGAATATTATAAAACTTTATGCAAAAAAAAATTGAATCGACTCTATATAGTAAGTAAAACGACCGTTTGTTTCAATTTAATATTCTTGATTGAAATGTTAAACTTCCCAGAACAAGTTTATAAGGTATTGTCTTAAAAATATCTTAAAGACGTCCTAAAGACGTCATACGACTCGATTTGGACTGTCATTTGTGCTGTCTGGGTTATTACGATTTGAAACGTATTTTGAACAAATTGTGTGTAAACATTAAAATTGAAGAAAATTGAAGTAAATCGGCAGTATGTGCTCACCCATCAGCAGGATCTGATAGGAGATGTAAGGCAGCGAAATGTTGTCGTTGATCTTGATCGTGCGCTTCGCATCCATCAGCAGGTCCATGATGTTCGCGATGGTGGATGGCACCCAGCGGCGTCGTTGATTGTAAAACTCGTTGAATCCTTCCGGGGCGTGAGTGTAAGCGTCGCTTGCGGCTGAGTATTCCACCTGCAGCAGTATCGATTACGAGAAAGTTAATTATTTCGCGAGAAACTATAATAATAAGAAATTCTCTCTGAAATAACATACAGGGCCTTTGAGAGTTCAGGTACAGGTATTATAGTGCGATATCAACTAAGTATTAGTGAAAGTCCTCAATACTTTTTGTATGTCGAATTAATAAATTGCCTCCTCACCGTATTGAGGACTTTCACTGATACTTAGATTAGTTGATATCGCACCTATGCCTGAATTTTCAAAGGCCCTGTATTTTATTCCTGATTTGTTTCAAAAGAATTCTTTCTTGTTTTAATTCTCTCTAACAAAGACACGTAACACACATACCCGGTAACCCCGTTGCAACAACAGAGTGCATAGCCAACGGTCCTCGCCCTGATCGTACTGCACGTAGTGTCTCGCTTCTTCGGATCTGGTCGTGTATTTCTTCATCACGTTATCGTCCATCAGAGCTTTGCCTCTGAACAGGGAGAAGCATCCCGGACTACAGAGTACGCAGCCGATCATGTGCTCGGTGGCCTTCTGCAGCCAATGACCGATCGCATATTCGAACATCTGGTACCACACCATCGGCCCTGCAAGCAGAGAACGTTGTTTTGATGATCTGAGGCGTCAATTCAAACATACAGGCGTGATTATAACTTTGACGACTTACCGGAACCAACCGGGTGGATACGGCCGCAAGCGGCTCCCAGATTCTTATTCTTCTTCATCAGGTCCACGAGGAGCTTCACCGCGGCCGGTTGGAAGTCGATATCACCATCGAGCGTCAGCAAGAATGTGTTCTCGGCAATCACTTCCTTACGATCGACACTGATCGGCAATTCCATCAGGCGATGTCCCAGCAGGTAGTACATGTACATTACCTAACACACAAAGTCGTGACAATTTCGATTCCTCAGTGATTGAATCTGATAACTCACATAACACAAATTTCTAAAAGATGTCTTAAAGACATTCAAGAGATGTTTGAAAGAAATAGGATGTCTATAGAATGTCTTTGAAAGTAGTAGTCTTAGTTGTAGTAGACTGTGCTGTCTGGGAAAGTAAAATTAGTCGATCAGTCCTTTTTTTAAGCAATAATCAAGTAAGAATTTGAGAAAGTCACCTGACTCCATCGCTTCCTGTGTCGGATCTTGCTCTTATCCTTCAGATGAGCGATCATTTTCGTCTTGCCGGGCAAAGTCCAGACCAACCGACCGCCATAAGGAGTCGGATACTTCTTCGGCGCTCTTACATGCATCCTCGTCTGGTGCACGTCCGACGCGGCTTCGTCCAACGTGCCGACCAGTAGCTTTACGAACCGGTTCACCTGCGACTCGTTCTCGTCGTGATCGGCCAGCTCGAAGGCGTCGTCGAAGAATATGTGAGCTGTGGAGACGTATAAGTAACGAATTGTAAGTAACAGTCGACATGTATCGGTCCAATTAGATTTATATGAGATTGATTGTGTACTCTCGAATTCGTAGTAATCCGGATCGACGACTCTCAGGTATTTCTGGGCGACACGTCGCGCGCACTGATCCTCGTCCAGTCGTAAGATACTCTTCAGGAATTCCATCATCTCCTCCTTATTCTCGTGCCACATAGTAGCGCAAGCGTAAATCCTGGTTACGTGATCGCTGCTTTTCACCGCGGACGGAGGTGTGGTCGAGCCGTCAGTCTGCTCGTAGATCGTCTCATAGTCCCCATCACCCTTCTCCTTTTCTATTTCCGCTAAATCCTGCCGATTGATCGAGAGATTGAGAATCAGCAAGTCGATTTTAGAGCCGGTAAATCCAACTTTACGTGAAAATCAATGTAATATACTCTCTTATAGTATAAATTTCATGACTCTTATAAGCCTTGCTTCTCTCACTCTAATTGTACAGCATTTATATACAGGTCAGTACAACGGGTTGCCTTTAGCTGACAGGCGCGCATAGTCGTGTTCCTGTCAGTTAAACGCTTAGGCAACCCGTCATACTGACTTGTATGTAAGTGCAACACTTTCCAATTCTCAAATATTTTTTTCTCTCAGTGTAGCAGAGCCTGTTTACATATTTACATTTCTTCCAACTAATAATCTTTTTTTGTTTTTATAAATTGTTCAACTAGTAAATTGTCTGCAGTGACATATTAAAACATTCCACTGATATAAAATTAAATTACAATCGCGACCGCACGTCACCAATCGTATAAAATTGAGAATACTAACTTCGACTTTGACTTCCGGCTGATCGTCTCTTCTCCTGTTGAGTCCCATCGACTGATCGATCAGCAAAGAGTCGTACATCGGCACCACGAAGAGCTTCTCTGTGGCGGCGAGACGCTCGCATTTCGGCGTCCAGATGTGCAAGGTGATCCAGGTTTGCGACAGCAGCCAAAGCAGCCACACCCAGGCGTATTGCTTCGACACAAACTCGTTGAGGAAGTACAACGGCGGCGACTCGTAAAACAGATAATCCGGGATGGCGTCGTGGAAGAAGCAAGGGTCGCCGTTGCGGAGGCCGCACGCGGCGATCAGCAGCGAGATCGAGACCGGTATGGTAAGGTTCACCGGGAAGGCGTAGCTGAAGCCTTGGATCAAGATCTTGCATGCGAACTTGCCTGAGCGAGAGAAAGACATGATTGTTAAGTATTTCGATGGAGGTGAATATATTTTTAACGAAGACATTTCGAGCTTCCTGCGTCACTAAAAGTGCTTTATCATTTTCAAGAATTTCGAACGTGCTCAATCTATAAAGATTTCCTAATACATTTTGAAATTAAAAACTTCAAAAATTTGCTGCGAATAAAAAAATTTAAAATGAATGATTTTTAATTCTCTCTATTTGACGTTCAAATCATTTTATCTGTGATACAAGTTTTCTGTTTTGGAGATGAAGTCAGAGTTGTGATCATTGGGATCTGCTTTGGACTAAACTCACTTACCGAAGATGTAGGCGAAGTATGCACCGAAGATCTGCAGCAGGAGCACGTAGATCGGCGTTTTGAAGTCGGAGGTAATGGTTTCGGTGGCATCCCCGCCTGCGATTAGAATCTCCGTGAGATCCGGCGAGGTACCGGAAGTGGAGGATTTAATGGGTGTCAGGGTGAGTTTGTGCTCGCTGAAAGCGCTGCCCAGCATGGTAAACAGATGGCCCACGTCATCCCCCTTCAAGTACAGTATCATTATCGTACTGATGAAGAACGCCACAATCTTCCACACCGACACTAGCATGTAGGTGAAGTATCGCGTCAGTCTTATCTCCTTCTTCACTCTTCCGAGTGACCTGATTAGACCTGCGAGGAGAAATTGCACAATTAGAAAAAGCGTTCGAAAAGTTTCGACTCGCTGCTGTATCTACTTTCTTTTTATATGTAGTTAAAGAAATTGTACACATATATTTTCCCGCAAATCGTTCTTAATAGGAGGAGACAAGAATCATGTATGTTTACGGTATTGTGCCGGTATTGTGCCGGTACCGAAAAACGGACGATACCAATGTCTTTTATGGGAAAATGGAAGAAGTCACTAACGCGAAACCTAGATAGCTCAGTGGTAAGAACGCCTGACAAGCGGAAGATTCGAGTTCAATTCCAGCCGTCGCCCCGAAAATTTTTTCCTCATATGACTATTAAAAATAGAGCAGCCCCGGCCATAGTCTGATCTTTCTTTCCATACTATAAAGTTGTGATATTAATTGTACAAATAATAAAAATTATTAGGAATCGATACTGACCCAGTACTGGGAATAGGTACTTCCCCAGTGCTTAGGAATCAATACTTTTTTATACTGATACAGTACTGATTTTCGGTACTGTGACAGTACTATTTTCCGATACTGGCCCTTTTCTATCATCCCAGTATCACACCAATACTAAACTCGTACTGGCATCTAGTACTATGCCAGTAACGTTTACCATAAATCGATACTGGGCCACTTTGATGCCAATAGTAAATTCCTATTTGGGTCTGCAAAAAAGTGCGGCCAAACCGCCGTAGGCATTTAGCTCCATTTTTTGTAAATTTGAAAATAGTCATAATTTTGGCATTTTCTGAAAGCTTATTGCGAGTAGATTCGAAATATATAAGTATCAAGAGGGCGTTCTATACCGTTTCAGAGAAAAATGGTCTAAAGAGTTTCACTTCCGAGAGATGGCGCCTTATCAAATATGTTCATGCCATGGACATAAGAATACATGGACGAAGCGAATTGTCGCGGGGATGAAGTCCAAGGGATAAGGAAAATGATTGTATGTATTGTAATGGAGTTGAGATACCATGATGACGACGGTCGCTGTTTTTATACATAGACAATAGATATAAAAATCCGACATTAACATAGCCGCGATGATATAATCCTCTTACCCCTTGGGCTTCACAGCCCCTCCTCTATAATCGCATCTTTCGCTCCGTCCATGATTCATGCTTATTCTATTATCAAGATCAAGCGCGATTCGAGATATCATTATGTGGGCGCCAAAATTTTTTGTTTTTTGTAAGGCACATGGCGCCATCTCTCGGAAGTGAAACTCTTTTAGATTATTTTTCTCTGAAACGGTGTGGAACGTCATCTTGATACTTACATATTTGGAATCTACTCGAAATAAGCTTTTAAAAAAAAACCAATATTATGACTATTTTCAAACTTACAAAAAATTTTCAAACTTACTAAACTTGGCCGTACTCTTTATAAAAAAAAAGTAGCTCACTATAAAAAATCAGGAAACTCACCGATCCGACTTTGCGTGGAGACGTAATTCTCCCACCAGCCGCAAGAGACGAGGAACAACGCCACCGGGATCAGCCATAGGGATCGCCTGGAGCTGTCCAAGAGCGGCCACAGGAAGAAGCTGGTCGCCTGAGCGGCCAGAGCGGCGATGTCGACCAGAACGAGGACGAATCGTTTGGACTCGTCTTTGCTTTTGTTGCGGGAAAGTAGGCCTATAACGCACACGAGTGACCGAGTAATTCGCTTTGCCTATCGTGTGCGATTATTACTTTCGCGAGTGCACGTTCGATAACGCGAAATCACGAGGAGGTAGGACGCGAAAGTCGAGCGCGAACGCGACGACGGGGAGAATCGTTCTGGTTTCGCAGGCGAGCAGGCGCCGAAAGTGCGTTACCTAGCAATCCGGGAACGAAGCACACGCAGTTAGTCAGCATCGCCCCTTTGACGACGTCCAGCTCAGGCAGCACCGCCAGGAACATCAGAGCCAGTCCGACGACGTGGAACGTCTCCATGAGGAAGACCAGGAGAAAGTGCGAGGACTGCGGCTTCTTCCACGACTTGAATATGCACATGCGGATGCTGCGGACCAGCGTGCCGAACTCGGGCACCGCGAAGGCGATTATTATACACCAGATCCACGCGATCCTCTCCTCCTCAGGCAGCACTACCACGTACTGATTCTCCCGATCTGCGGGAAAGCGATAATTACTAGCGATTGGAGCGCGAGCGAATAATCGAACGACGATTATCGCAGATCGCGAAGGCGCACGAAACCGGTACTGACTTATTAAAGGTCGTAATTGGAGGGAATTTTAATTGCACTGGAATAAAACTTTTACTCACCGAAGGTCTTGCGTTACTTCCGGAATCATTGTCATGTACCGTGATGTGCAATCAATCATTGCAAATTGTCTCTGTACCGATTTTGTACCCGCTTTGATGTTTATCGACTCAGCGAATCAAATTAACTCAACTCGTATTGCGTTATTGGAAAAAATATGTTCGAAAAGTCTCACTTCCTACTTTTTGTTCTTCTTTTATGTATGATTAAAAAATTTATATATTATATATTATAATATATGTATTATTTAAAAATTTATTTACATATATACATTTTTTTTAATTATACTTAAAAGTACGAGAATCTCTCTCATACATTAGTGTGAACTGGTTATTAAAAGAGTGACGCCAACATGTATCCCATTTCTGGACAGTGAAAAATGTACACTGAGAGAAAAATGATCTTACTTGGTTTACCTGATTTATCTGATTTAAGTAAATAATATTTGGTTTAAATAAAGAGAATTTAGATATATATATGTTAATAGAGAGAATTTAAATAAATATGTTAATAGTACCCATCAAAGAAATATTTGTTGATTTTAAGGTAATTTTTCCCTCAGTGTATTTAAAATAAGTACCAAATTAAAGGTCTTGATGAGCTGATTACAAAGATATAAGTTTTAGAACCGCCCAGTGTACCAACACCGTTCCAACACTACGGTCCAAAAAGTTTCCAAATTTTAGGCTACTTTCTTTATGTTTCTTTCATTTCATTTCATTTCAAAAGTTGAATTTTATTTGATCCATCTTTTAAAATAGTTAAGCAAAAACAATTTAAGTATTTCTAATGTTTTTGAATAGGTTAAGGTGCATTTTCCTATGGGCTTCATGTATCAAAATCAACCGGAAGTTGATGTTCCAATTGGAATTTTCTACTTCCGGTCAGTTTGAAACATGGAATTTATACCATTAAATTCTTCATTTAATTTTATTAAATGTAGCATTTTGAATTTTTAAAATCCATTAAGTTTTGCTAAAGAAACATCAATTTGAAAGTATCCAGACAACATAATGTCTAAAATCGGGACATAAGATATAAGACGTCTTAAAGATCATCTTTAAGAGTCGTTCTATTAGTTGCAAGTCTCAAGGTCGCAAAAAAATTGACCAATCACAGTCAATTCTTCTTTGGTCGTAAAAAGAACGATCAACTGTAATTGGTAAATTTTCTCATGATCTTGCGATTTGCAACTAATGTAGAATCGGTCTAAGATATCTAAGATGTCTTTCAGACGATTTACATATAAATGTCTTTAAGGCGTCTTAAAGATTACGACATTACTATCCAAAAAGGTCCCAAATTTGAGGCTCCAGACAACATAATGTCTAAAATCTTAAAAATAATCTTTAAGACGTCGTATGTCCCGATTTTAGACATTATGTTGTCTGGATAGCCTAAAATTTGGGACCTTTTTGGATCGTAATGTTGGAACGGTACACTGGGCGGCTCTGAAACTTATATCTTTGTAATCAGCTCATCAAGGCCTTTAATTTGGTGTCCATTTTAAGTACATTTTTCACTGTCCAGAAATGGAACATATGACCTACGGACTAGTGGCATCACTCTTTCCACCACTTTGTGATATTAGTCTAAACAAACGATTCAAAATATAAAAGATAAAATATAAAAGATTCTTTATGATGAAAGATCAAAAGACGCGGATTAAATTGACTCTATTAAAATAAGATCTAATTAATGTGCTCACTTATATCTTTATTGCAGTAATAGATACTTCTGCCCTGTCGGAGCTGCGACGTCATGAAGAGAATCGTTCCTTTGGCGACCACGCCGCTTCCCAGCACTATGATGAAGACGAACAAGTAGACGAGAACTTTGGTCACCTGCACCATCCTCTCCAGGCACGTCTGATTCGCCATGGAGCCGGAGTCGATCTTGGGCGGTGGATTCCGGAACACGTCCCAACCCTTCGTCTCGACGACGGTGCGTTGGCTAGATTTTCAGCGATTTGAAACTCGATTAATAAATAAATCGAGAGATTCGATCAGAGTTTCTTTAAGGAATCTCTTAATCCGAATGTCTCTTCGCGGACTTCCTTTAGTTTCCTCAATCAAATGATTGTCTCTTCGTTGCTATTGAAGGAATTATTAGCTATTACGAAATCATATTCTTACCTTCCGCCATAGTCTTGAGTCAGAGGAGTGCATTCACCGTCCGAAAAATCGTCCGGCCCGCTCATTGTGCCACCTCCGGGTATTACACCGTTCTGATGTTGGTTCTTCGCCATTCTGCGCATCAAAGACATTATTCTCACCTGCGCTCTTGAGCAACGACTGTCGTACGTGATCGCTACGGTCGGCGGTCTTTTTACGAGGGATATCTTCGAGATCGTGACTTGGAAAATTGTGGGGATCCAGGAGAGTTCGAAGATCAGTTAAGAAGTGTCTGCCTTTTTAATGTCTCATAACATTTTGATTGGAATTACACGCAATTCGAATTTCAAATTTAGTCCATTAAAGCTACTGGAAATGATAAGGTCCTCGCGCGAAGGGAACTTTGAAGGGACAAACGCGAAAGGGCTATGCTGCTAGATTAATTTCAAGTTGATTTTGTCTCGAGAGATCTTCAGTTCGAAACTTAGTCGCGAAGAAGCGCGAAATGTTGAAAATTAGAAAGCCGCAATAAGCGATGACCTCGACATTTCGCGCCGTGGGGAGATCGATCTTAAATCGTTATCGTTAATATCGCGCGTTCGCGCGAGTTACAATCTACACAGAGAGACACAATTCTATAAATCAAAGTAACGTATACATAAAGTAAGTGTAACAAAATCATATATTCGTGTCCCCGTCCAACGCAGCCCACGCTCGTATCGTGGCCGCGACAGTCGTGATCGAACGTTAATTAATTCAAATCGCCGACGCGACGGCCTCATAAAGCGCGCGTCCGATGACCTAACAAACTTGCATTTTATCTCGACATCTTGCACTTTTCCTAATGATCTCTCCTTAACATCTGGTCGGTGGCGAACTTCTGATCCTGACGAGATAGCGAAAGAGAGAGAGAGAGAAAGAGAGGGAGAGAGAAAGCGAGAGTGCGCGCGAGAGCGAGAGAGAGCGAGAGAGAGCGAGAGAGAGAGAGAGAGAGAGAGAGAGAGAGAGAGAGAGAG